CGAGAGTCAGTACCTCGAATTATCGGTCATTACTCTAACATGGTATCGTCGTCGACGGAATTATTCGACGAACGTGGAGGTTCCGCCTCGTGGCCGGGCTTTCTCATCCGAATACGAGGAAAACGTCGAATGAAATCCAGTTTATCGTATGTGGATTCTATGAATTTTATCTATTGAATGATAATTTTTAATTTACTTATCGTCTCGTCAATTTGTAAGCCAATAGCGATAACTATGAGTTACATGTTCAACATTTATATGCATTATGTGAGTCATAATATAATTAAAATAAATACGGAGTGACTTATGGTTGGAATAACTAATTATTACATTTAACGATATAACAAGTAAGATAGCATTTTTGATATGCGTGTCTTGTCATTTAAACTGGTCTTCAAAGATAGTGTTTTACGTTTGAATATGATATACAGGTATTATAATTAGAAAATGGTAGTATTTAGAGGAACGTAATGCACCACCAATTTGTAGATTCCGATATCAGTGCTGACAAACGTATGCTACTAAAAAATGACTCTTCAAGCATGTACACAGCGTGAAATTTTATTTCTATTAGCTTCTATATTTGAATATCCGTTACTTTGGAGTGCGTGTAAACAGGTTAATAGGTAGGATAGAAAGAAATATCGAGGTCGTGATTCGGTGGAGATACACCGGTGCGTGTGAGTTTGCCGTCCGCCATGGAACGATTCGTGTACATGACTTCCATCGACCATCATCATCGTCGTATCGCTCGGAGGTTCGATAATTGAAAAGCCAAGACTTCTCTCGGCGCTGTATACCGTCGCCAGGAACAATATTCCTCGTAGTGCGCGGGCACGAGCCCCCCCCCCCCCCCCCCCCTCTCCCCACCTCCCCCTTGAGATGGTACGTCGAATTACCAGCCATTATCGCGACGTATCATCGCGGCGAGCGTCATTCACCGGACCATCATGGGAAAGATGAACAATACTCGATCTGGTCAACACCTCGAGGCCTTAACGTGCGCCACTCGAGCAAAGTGGAAGAACGATTATTAACGACTCGATTCTATTAACTCGACTACTTTCCTCCTCGTGCTAAACACAATGCAACATTTTTTCCTCGACCGAGATTGCATGCTTGAATCGGTTCCAGCGTTTACCGCCATATTACAGCCGAGGGATCCTCTTACGCATCGGGATTTGCTAGAAATTTTTCTCTCTTCTCTATTCTCGATCGCTGATCGGTATCACGCCCGCGTCACTCCGAATGCCAAGTTTAAAAGGCATTACCGACATTTGAATATTTTGGTAAACGAAAAGGAAGTTTTGAAGACGATCGGTTGTAAGCAGAAAGATGACGAATGAAAGTGAATTATCTGATACAACATAGTATAATACTGCAAAATACAGTACATAATGCAAAATAAGCTAGTAAAATAGAGCTTCAAACTGCGAAATACAAAATATTCAAGCATCATAGAGCACAATACATCGAATACTGTAATAAAGTTAATGCTGTCCTAACTGAAAGGACGATATTGCTTACTGTGTAAAAGAGGAAGGACCAGGAAGAACATAAACCAAAACTATAGCAATGTAACATTTCCGCGCGACGGACACCTCGAGGCTCGATCGAATCTCGGCGATCTCTCGTTGGGAAAAGAAGCGTGGCAACAGCAGGGATTCCCTGCAGGGGTGCCAATCCCCCGCGGAGTCGGAACCAAAACACCAAACGTTGGCTTACCGGCCCGCCGAGTGCAATGATTTATCGACTGCGCATTATACGTCCCATCAAGCGCGAATTTTTTTCAGCTAACGCAACAGTCAGCGTTCTGCTCGATGGCATCATACTCATTCTCGTCCAATGGCGCCCTAGAAGCGATTCTACGTGCGAGAAAAGTTATCGCATACTAATATCAATCGCATTCATACACGTTTCTTTCGGCAAACTCGACTAAAATTTGTACATGCGTGTTACTAAGTTCTGTTCAAAATTAAATTTTAATCGGTTAAAATCGTTTGAATAAAAATTCATTATATTGTGAAAGGTGAAGAACACGGGTTATCCAAGCAACTTAGATCTTCGGAAATATATGTTTATATAGAAATCCCATTCGTCAGCCGTTATTCGGCAAAAATTCTGCTCATCTTTGGTTGCAACCTGTTCCAAACACGTCGAACGAGTATCGCGTAAATTATTGTTCGCCTTTTCGCCGGGCGGTGTGACGACGGCGGTTAAACTGCGCGATGGCGAATAGAAATTCCTTCTCGGAACGTTCGCTGAATGATAATCTCGCGAGTTATCGCAGTAATCTCATCGCGATCTGGTAGGAAACTGGTATTTTGACAAAAAATACGAATACCTTGAGAGTTAATTTTCATAAAAGTGGCGTAAACTCGTCCCTCGTCTTGTAATTATAACTTTGACTGGCAACTAGCAATCAGAGCGCGATTTGAAGTTTGACGATTAAGTAGATGGTAGAAAAAGCGAGATACGAATCTTTCTCGTTATGTTGAATATTTTGATTTCAATTATTCTCTTATTCTCATTCTCGGATCTCCCAATCGTTCTTTGTACCACGTATAAAATTTTGTTGATACGTTTGAACATGGTTTCGCACTTCGAAAAGCGTTCCTGGTAACTTTAGGTACGGTTAAAGTGCTGTTATAGAAACCCAACCTGAACCGTGTAGATTCCATTCGAGTCGCGAGGTTGTTTCTCGAAAGTAACATCGCCTCTCACGACGAGTATGGAGCCAACGACCCTTTACAGGCAGCGTAAAAACTTCCGGTATACTCGGCACGAGAAGATACAGCCACGATTTTCCCTTTAGCAGATGCATATGGCGGACTCGCAGCTTGCGAGCGACCCTCCGCCTCGGGAATAGCCACGAACGTTGCGTGCAAAGAGGAACCGAGTTTTGAACGACGCCTGGGATAATTGCGAGGGACGTAGGACGTTTACGAAGGAATGCGACGGAATCGATATTAAATCGACTCGACCGCTGCTGAAACGTCACTCGAGGCTCTGCAAAGCGTCGTGGTTTTGCACCGTGGCACGCGTCGAATACATAGGCCTCCAGAGATTGACCCTGAAAAGGGTCCTCGTAACGTCTTGTACGCACCGATTTTAGCGAGGCTTCGTAAAACGGTATAGCCAGTTTCGGAAGCCAAAAGTGCCCTCAGACCGATTTCGATTTACGAAGATACATTCGATAGGCTATGAAAAAACATTAATCTGTGCCAAGTTTCGAGTCCCTGTCTCGACTGGTGGGGGAGTAAACAAGAAAAAACAAAAATCACGTTTTTGACCGATTTCTCTCGTCCTGTTCTATGAAAAATGTTGAAAAAAATCAGTTAGCCAGTTACACGTTCCAGAATGTTTTCAGATTTTTTCAATTCAAAATCCGAGCTCGCGAGAGAAGCAACGAGATTATAATCCACGGAGAGTTATTATCCTCGTAAAAATTTTGAAAGTACCTATCCCCTCTCCTCCGACTCAAATCAATCGAAAAGGTTGTAGCGTTGTTTATCATATTATTCGTAAAAATCTCACGAAAATCGGTGAAGGGTACAACAACAGGGTCAGGCATGTTGGCATCACACATGGATTTCCCAGCGGCATCTACCCGATCATTTTCAAGTATACAATACAGCTTAATTCTACAGTTTGAACTCTAATTTCTATTTACCAAATAGGAGATAGAAAGTCGCGTGCCTCTAATCCGCTATTCGAAATTTGCATCCGGACAAGAATCCCGGCCATTTCGGTACCAAACTGGAACCTAATCGGTTGGCAGTAATGTCAATTGGGAGAAATTGGTCGGAATAAAGATATTTGTTTCGTGGAATGTTTACGTAGGTTCAGGCACGCTCCAGGTGCAGCCATGCGGCCAGCGATACGCTTGTAAACAACGAATTACTCCGCGGTACTGTTTGCTCCGTTTTCGTGGAATCGATTCCCGATACGACGTTCCTCCGAACGACCATAACGGATTTACGCCGCGTGTGTGCCGATCGCGGTTACGTAAGAACAAAACGCAGTAGTCGAACGAGCTAGTCGAACCGGAATGGCGAACAGTTTCAACGAGATCCCCTCAATTTTCTGCGTTTCACTCTCCCCGCGTCCTTGCGAGCGGATAATTTGCATTTCGGTGCCCACGTTCTGTGTCGCTATCAAGCACGTTCCCTAAGGGGACGAATTATCCTCTCGACATATTGCATAACGACCCCCGCGTTTGTCCCGTTAGATTTGCAGATTGGACGCTTCGTTAGATGCCGCGTCTTTTAGTATCGAGAAACGGGCTGCCAGGGACGTTTCATAATAATAACTCGTCCGGCGGTGAACGTGTAATTGATATAGCGAATAACTTTAACGTTTGGGCACTACTGTATTCGAGCCAGAGACCGAAAATAATGGTTATTTCGACATTTTACCGAATCACTGAAGCAGTAGCTAAACGATTCAAACAAATTTTGCAGACCGAGCCAATATTTAATAAAAAAAAAAAACTATAGAAATTTTATAGCGCCGGTATAATGACTATGTCAGAAAGGTGAGAAAATATCGCAAAACGAGAGAGATTACCTCATTTTATAACACTTAAAGGTATATCTCAAATATTAATTTGAGTAGCAGAAGAACAAATGGCGTGAACTTAAGGGACGATCTAATAGATAGTAGTAACTTCTTATTTTATTATTAAATAAAGATGGTGAATGCATTAAGATACTCCAAAACTTGTCTAAATTACGTACTTGGCAGAGGTTCGAAAAAGGGTCGTGTGACTAAACTCTAGAATTATTTTTGTAACTTCAGTAACTGCTTCAGAACTTAGCCAGAGTTTACCAACATCGATTAACGGAATACAGTAGGGCGTATTTTCAAAACTTTATTTACGAAGGAAACATTGTAAACTGTCCGACTGTTAAAGTTACTCGCTATACCTTTTCTCGACGCATAACTTGGTGTAGCGAAATACTGCGTTAAAACGTGCGTGATTGTTTGTGTGTTTATAGAAAGACAAGTACTATTGGGAGCTGAAGAATCTGTCACGTGAGGTAAGCAAAACGCTTATTGATCTACTGTAAAGAGAATTCTGAAATAAGAAGATTGTTATTAATCGTGATTCATAATTATGAGTAGCTTAAACTTTATAAATTGAAACTTGAAAAAAAGAAAAACAATGAAAACGCTGGCTGCGTAGGGTCGACTTAACTCTTTGCACTCCTAAAGCCAGGTGTACTGTCCAGGTACTTCGAGGCATGCTCTTAAGCCCAGCTGTACTGCTTGGGTACTCGGAAATGTCCTACTCTAAAATTTTAAGTTTGAAAAATGTATAATGTAAACGAAATTTAAATTACGCTACATTTAATACACAGTATAGAGCATATATTTTAACGCATATATCTCGGTATAATAAATTATATATCGCACTACTTATTATCGATTTTAAATGCCACGGTACCTTGAATCTAGTTCACCCTTTGCGTTTACGCTTCGCAAGGAGACTGCAGGAGCTTTGAAAAATGTAATTCGTCGAGCTCGAGTCGACAAGACGCTTTTACGCCGGCCATGAATTTTTATGGAGGGGAAGCGGTTTCCGAGTTTCATGGGAATAAAGAACGCCATAAATCCTCGCGAAGAGTAACGCCTTTCTCTTTAAGAAACTGGATCGTACAAAGTTGTGTCGTTCTCGCGAACCACATCTGTCAGAGGCACGGCCCGGTCGCATTCTCCGAACAGTTTCAAGCAATGGTTGTCTACTCGACTTTCTATTTCATTAATTTATATTTTAAATACAATACGTTTCGAAAACAAACCCCTTTTAAATATACCGTCAGTATTTAAATATTATCAGTATCGTAAATGAAAATACTTCCATTGAAGTGAAATTAATACTGGTCAGAAAAAAGCTCTTCAATTGTAGCACTAGAAATCATTCTCGCAATCCCCGATCTCAAGACAGTGCATAATCTCTCGGAACAAATCTTGTTGAATAATTCGTTAATCACCGATAATCCATTAACCACGAAAGCTGTTTATTCTGTGATGTAACTCCGAGCTTTGATTTCGTAGTGTTTTCGTCGGAACGATAATTTATTTACAAGTTCAGGGGTGAATGTAGCGCGTCAGAGCAACCGCAGTTGCTCCCACGGCTCGCTCGGCCACTAAATCGCGAAACAATAAATCTGAGAGTGGAGTCACCCTCTTTATGGGCCTCTTATACGGGAACGATGTTCTCCAGGGGGTGGCCTAATATGTCACAGTCTGTTGCAGCGATCTCGCTGCGCAGGCGAGGCCTGTATCGTCGTGAAACGAGGGTGGATCTGCGCGAGAGAACCATCTCCAAGGGGTTGCGCTCGCCGAGGGGTTAGATACGCTTCTAATGGAGTGATTCAATAGCGACGATCTGATAAACTGATCCAGCGTACACGCGTCTTCGTGAATCGAATTAAGCGGATCGTCGTTTTTCAATTCGCCGCTAATCGACACCCCTTGTGTCAAGAATGAGCGCCAAGTGGGACAGATCTCGGTCAGGATCAATGCTGGAACTGATACTCTGCCGCGTGGCTAGGTCGTTTGCAACATGTGCAGTCGGCAGGAAATATGGAAGCAGTTCGGTTGCTTTAAATCATGAGGAGACAGTGGTAGCAATATTAACCCTTGTTAGTTACAATAACAGTAAAGATTGTTAGATTGTTATCTCTGGTCTTAAACATTATTTGGAACGATAGAAAAATTCAAATAAAATATTGTTGGTATGTCAGGGCGATGATACAAATTTGTACAGATGATAAAGGTAAATACAGATTTCCATCATTTTCTCATAACCTGGAATAGACTTTGAAGTGACGCGAATTCGCGTCAGCTGTCGCGAGTATTTCAAATTAAAAATGAACATTACTCGCTAACTACTCTCGCTAAGTGCTCGTGTCATCGCGTAACTGCAAAACAGATTACAGAAATTTCCAGTAATTGTGCCAACAATCCGGATTTACCTAATATCCATAGGACAGCCGCAGAACAAACAAGCAAGCAAGTTTACTTGACAGAACGTTCCCTGGAAGCTCGCTTTAAAAAAAAAAAAAAAAAAATAAATGACGGTATGTGCACAGGCAAATTGAAGCAGATCGTATCGCGGAGCGATTACGTGATCCTGGAAGTTTTGTCGCGCGTTTATGCCCTTTTCATCCTACAGAAGTTCTTTTTAATAAGCGAACGTTCAACCAGTTCTCGGCGCGAGCGTGCGCTGCCGTGGAAGCTAACGAACGCGCTTTTAGCGGGAAACTATTATTGGGCTTCGTGTGGCACGTACGCCGAGAGCAGGTCGTTATCGCACGGGAAATCGTGATCATTACAAACGAAACATGACAGCTGAAAAATTATTATAATCTTTGGTGGTCGGGTTAACCGGGCCGATTTGCATAATCTCGAAACGCGGCGGAACTTGCGCGACATGGAAAAGCTTCCTACAGCTCGGTATAGTCGGTACACGCGCGTGCGTATAGACCGTGGATCTGCGATGGGAAAAGCACGATGAAGCCATAAATTGCTAGAGCTCTTGATGGAAGACACGCGAACCAATTTTCTACGAGATATCCGACCGTGCGCATCATTTCGCCGATAATTGCTTGGAACTTGGAAGCATACTTCCGCGACACAAAACGCCGAGCGTCGATTTTCATACCGATTTCCTTGCGTGATGCACTTTACACGATCGTTATTGTTATTTTACAAACATGTTATGGACACCGTGTACGCTTTCAGAAAGTGTAAAAGAAAACATTCGACTTTCTCGAATCTTATAGCGAGAAGATCTCCTAACTCCGTGTCATAAAATTAAATTCGAGCTCGTGTTTGCTATAGTCAGTCGTATCAATGATCTAGATGATCGTTTATTAGTTTTTTTCGCGCTAATAGAACAAAGACGCGAGAAGCACGTGTTTCTTTGTTAACGAAGCACTCTGATTCCCATATTTATTCAACGAGTTAATGTTTAATGCATGACGTATAATATTTCTTGACAAAGAAACGTGTTGTTGGAGTGTTCGCACATAAATATGCGAATATTAAGTAAACTGTCACGGCTGAACAAAACATTCATAAACGTCTAGATAACTTTATATAACTCTTTTTAAGGCAAAGTGTCACTCATTGTATTCATAGCTTTTGCAAATCGTGACGTTTGAGTTGTTGTCTCCTGCAGAAAAAAAATATGCACGAAGCCAGGAATCTGGAACGAATGATGCATAAGTCCGTAGTAGGTCACTTTGTTTATAAATCGAGGTATTTAAGTATTAAACCACACATCACTGCAAATATAAAGGATTTATAGCTTCAAGAAAGCTTATAAGAATTTATAACCAAGTCAAGTAACCGAAAAAGACACGTTTCGCATATTTTGCAACGTGATGGCGCACAGAGTGCAAAAGAGTATCGAACGACGTGATTTGTGCCACTTTCAAAGCAAACGACTCGTTTTGCCTCGATAAATCGATACAGTAAAAAAAAAAAAAAATTGTGTTAAAAAAATAAGTGTGGCAACTATTCAAATAAAAAGAAATCTTTATAAGTCGATTTTATTCGTTACGAATTATTCGCGTAAAATGTTGCTCGTCTCTGGTCTACGCGAGAACGCTACTCAAGCGTATCCACGCAGCCGCTGAGGTAAGAAAATTAAACGGTCTCCGTGGTCCTCTTTAGCGGTTTCTAGCCGACCACGTTCGCTTATGCTCCCTACATGCGCGTAATACCTATAATCGTTACGCGTATAATTCACGCTCGGAGAAAGCGTGCGGTCTCCTAGTTTACCTGTTACGAGCTGGCTGGGGGGCACAGGTTTTTCGGTTTGTCGGTTCTCGGCGCAACTACACGGCAATCAACTTCTGCTTCATTTACGCGAAATCGTGAATCAGGAACGTTCGATGCAATTGCTTTTCACCGTATAAGTGCGGTCGTTCGTGACATTATTAGAGGCTCTTAGGAGAAGAGGAGGTTCTTCTGCTTTAAGAAAGCTGAGTCAATGTTGGACGAAATACATGTTTAACGATTTAAAGTTGGCAGCACTGTTACTAATTATGCGTTCAATAATATGGGTATTGATCGGACACTTTCCCTTTGTAGATAGAATTTATAATTGGATCAGAAGAAACGCTGTAGAAATTAATATAATTATCTATTCACGATGTTCTGACCACGAGACTACTCGTATTTAAATTTCCCAGTAAAATTTTGTATTTACATAAAACCCTTGGTCTCTTTAACGAAATTTCTGAAAATTTCGCGATCGTTAAAGTTTCAAACCAGAATGTCCACTTAAATCCACGAAGCGTCTTCCCGAGGATCGATGCTGTCGCGTGTCGATCTTTTCAACGCGGAATGACGGACGCTGTCGACCAGGTTGATCGTTATCGAACGTGAAGATGGATTGATTAACCCTTCTAACGTCCTGTTCGTTTCGTACGCATAATATCGCCAGCGTCGATTTCCAGCGATCGTGACTTTTGTTTCTTTCGACATCAGACGACGGGAATATTTATACTGGTTCACATATACATCAAAAGAGGATGGTAGATTTCATTTTAACACTTTTTACGGTTATTATACTTTTCATAAATGAAAGGTAAAAAATATATTTGCAGTATAAATTAATCGTCTTCGATATATTATAAACATACCCTCATAAAGATTACAAGAATATATATATATATATATATTTTTTTTTTATTTATATAAATATATATAAATATACAACTTTACTTTATATTATACATATATCATTTATACTGTAAATATATTTCTTTCCCCTTATTTAAGTCCCAGAACAATAATTGTAGAAAGTGTAAACAGTAATTCTATCATACCAACATAGTTTTATAACGCTATAACATTAATTTTAGCAATATCTATTATTCATCAAAAACGTCCACATGCTTATAAACGAGGCCCACGCATAAATAAACGTACGAAATTTCAAAAAATTCATATCAACTGCTTCGTCTGCGAAAAAGAATCACGAAAATTGCCTCGAAAGTGGTAAAAAATAAAGGAGCGCCTC